TTGGTCTTATTGCAGAACACAAGCTCTGCGTGCACATCCATTTTACAGCTCTAGCTTCCCCCTTTTCCGCCTCCAAATGGGGCCCCGGAACACACACAGAGAAAAAAAAACCTTCGAGCTGCTGTTTTCAATTTCCAACTGTTCTTTCTAAAGTCAGAAGCTGCGACTGCATATTAGTTAACCCTTTTGTCCCGAGAAAGTCGTTTTCCAGACTTGTATGAGTTCCCAGGGACATGCTGTAGCAGAAATACAGTGCAGATGACATTTACATGAACGGGTCACATACGGTAATGCAAGGTTTGTGGCTTCTTAGGGCGACTGGTTCTAAGTTACTGTGCTGGAGAAGTGCTTCGAAGTCACTTGTCTCTCAACACAAAGACCAACACACACACAAACACACATTCTCTCTCTCTGTCTCTCTCTCTCTCATGCACACCCACAAAAGAAATAAGAAAACAATATATATATGCATGACATACAAATAGATTGTGTATTTAAATCTATAGTAAAATATTCACAAACAAAACACAAATTCACTCTGTACAGGCAATGCCACGGTCCAAAGGTTGAACAAACAATCACAGAATCATAGCTGTATTTCTTTCAAAGAAGCCAAAACAAGAGTAAATAAATAAGTGGTCAGATTTCTTTAGTGTTCTCAGATTCACAAGGAAGCAAGCAGCAGCAATTAAATTGGGAAATAAAGTAGGCAGTTGTAACAGATAAATCAAGGAGTGAGACAAGGATGTGTTTGGGCACCGGATCTCTTCTGTCTCTATAGTGAAATAATAATCAGATGGCCAAGGATAGACCAGGAATACTAGTTGGAGGTTATAATAGAAACAATCTTCGTTATGCAGATGATACAGTATTAATAGCTGAAAACACAGAAGACCTGTAACAACTATTAGACATTGTGGTCCTAGAGAGTGCAAAAACAGGGACTCTCCCTGAATGACAAGAAAACAGAAACAATGGTTATATCAAAGAAGAAGATAACTCCAAAATGTGACATAGCAACAGAAGTGAAAGTGCTTAACCAAGTCAATACATTCAAGTTTGTGGGAACATTCAGAACATCCAACGGACGATGTGTGACAGAAATTAAAAGCAGAATTGGCCAGGCAAAGTCAGCTCTTCAGAAGAGAAAAGTATTTTGTGTCTTATCAAACATAAGAAAACAAGTACAGTGGAACCTCGCTCAATTGTTCTCATATAAATTAATGTAAAATACGATAATGCGTTCCATGTCGAAAAAGATACTCACAAAATGCTATGTATACTGTTTATTCAAAGAAAATTGTATACATATTGTTAAGGAGAGTGGATCACCTTCATCTTTTCTTCAAACGCGTAACGAACCCACAAGGAATGCGAATTCGATTTGCAGAAAAAAAAAAAGTCAAAATAATTATGATACACAGCTAATTATTTTTTTTTTACTAGAAAGATGTCCAGAGATTTGTTTTTGCCGATGCTTCAAAATTTAGTGAAAATGCGATACAGCATTATCATTAAATAAATTTGCAACGCACATAGTCACTTCCTTATTAGGGCGATGCTTCTCAATGTAAGATGCAACAGTTTGCAATGCTTTCAGCATTTCTCTTATTTCACCAGAAAATTGTTGATAGTGGACAAAGACCCAATCTCGTTGACTACAGGTTTCACTGTCTCGAACCCCTCAAAGTCACAAAACAGACAACACTCTCCGGCCAAAGCTTCTTCCAAGCAGAAGTTAAGATTCTCTTGGTAACCCCTTCCCACGCCTTGTCGGTCATCTTGAGGCAGGCAACGATGTGGAAGTGATTTTTCCAAAACTCTTTGAGAGTGAGGTTGGTCCCTTCAGTCACATGAAAACTATGCTCGAAGAGTGCTTTAGTGTAGAGCTTCTTAAAGTTAGAAATAACTTGCTTGTCCATGAGCTGGAGTAACAGAGTGGTGTTGGAAGCCAGAAATTGGATCTTGTAGGCCTGGAAGATTGTTGTACATATATCGCAATATAACACAAGTTTGAGAAAATATGTGATCACAAGTGACACTACGATGCTACTGGAACGAGTGCTAAACACAGACTGATGTAACATGCGCACAATTCGGGACTGCCCCTCTCCTCGCCTCTCGTTATGCGAAACGTCGCTCGTTAAGCAAGTCTTTTTTTTACAATTATTTTGCTTGTTGTGCGAATTACTCGTTATGCGAGGTGCTCGTTAAGCGAGGTTCTACTGTACTGAAATGTTACATGGAGCCGATTGTGTGCCTGGAAATGGCTGATAAAAGTAGAACATTATATACAATGATGAAGAGACAAACAAAGTTCTTTAGTCATGTGATGAGAAAAGGAGCACTGGAAAATATCGTGACAACTGGAAAGATCATTGGTAGAAGAGGCAGACTAAGAGAAACTATGGTCGATGGCTTAAGACAATGGCATGGAGGAATATCAACAGTGGAACTGATCCAGAACACCAAAGACTGAGATCTGTGGCGACACATGAAGACCTACACCAGCTGGCAAGGCACTTGATGATGATGATGATGCTCAGACTAAACATTGAGAAGTGCTACCAAACACTACAAACTAATTGGCCACACACAAAAATAAAAATAAAAAATAACTTGTCACACTTTGTGTGTTGGTTGGGGCAAAACAAAAAGACTAAAGTAAATCAGAAACACAAATTTAAGGACAATAAATTCACACAAAACAATTATAAAAATTAAAACTGTGTATATAAACATGTGTAATGGTTTCATAAATATCTTCAACAACATGCAAATATTAATGAGATCTAGAGAAAACATACATAAGAAAAATAAGACTTGTCAAATGTTATACGTACTCTCAATCTTGCTATATCGTACAATCGTACAGAGACCATGGACAATGAGTAAGCAATTAGAAAACTGCTTTCTTTTTCTGGAGATGTGGATATAGAGAAGAAGAATAGGTTGTATTTCATGGAAACAAAAACAATCACTACAGAGAAGAATAGGTTGTATTTCATGGAAACAAAAACAATCAAATATAGAAAAGAATAGGTTGTATTTCATGGAAACAAAAACAATCAAATACAGAGAAGAATAGGTTGTATTTCATTGAAACAAAAACAATCAAATACGGAGGTTATGGAAAGAGGAAATGAAGAGAGAGCTGTGAAACGAACAGTCTTTATATTTCAGATGAGTTTATACGAGTTGTGAAACTTGAACATTTCCCAAATGAACAGAAAAGTATTTATGTGTCTTAAAATCGAAATCTTACAGTCCTAACAATTCAATGGATGGAAAATAGTAAATTACTATTATTAAGATAACTGCCCTTTATATCTACTCTAAACATATCTACTCTAAACATATCTACTCTAAACATATCTACTCTAAACATATCTACTCTAAACATATCTACTCTAAGCATATCTACTCTAAGCATATCTACTCTAAGCATATCTACTCTAAACATATCTACTCTAAACATATCTACTCTAAACATATCTACTCTAAACATATCTACTCTAAACATATCTACTCTAAACATATCTACTCTAAACATATCTACTCTAAGCATATCTACTCTAAGCATATCTACTCTAAGCATATCTACTCTAAGCATATCTACTCTAAACATATCTACTCTAAACATATCTACTCTAAGCATATCTACTCTAAACATATCTACTCTAAACATATCTACTCTAAGCATATCTACTCTAAACATATCTACTCTAAACATATCTACTCTAAGCATATCTACTCTAAACATATCTACTCTAAACATATCTACTCTAAGCATATCTACTCTAAACATATCTACTCTAAGCATATCTACTCTAAACATATCTACTCTAAACATATCTACTCTAAGCATATCTACTCTAAACATATCTACTCTAAACATATCTACTCTAAACATATCTACTCTAAGCATATCTACTCTAAACATATCTACTCTAAGCATATCTACTCTAAGCATATCTACTCTAAACATATCTACTCTAAGCATATCTACTCTAAACATATATATTAACATAAGATAAAGTACTAAACATCGGAGTACTAAGAACCTATATACTTCATCTGAGATTATATGAGTTTACAGCTGGTGAACGCTAAGAAGAAGAAGATTTAATTGAAAAGCACAGATAGAATCTTAATCTTAGTGATAACAAACTGAATTGAAGGAAAATAGAAAAAAACAGATTTATCTAACCTGAATTCGGTATAACAGATTACTTACTTATTTTTTTTCTTCTTCTTGTCTTCCACCTTATACCTCAGCGAAGTGTCGAAAAGGGAAAGATGAGGGGGGAATGTTACTTACTAAAACGGGAAAAATTGATTATTGTGGGTGTGTAAAATGTTATCACTGTGGAGAAGATAATCATACAGCAGACCCTCCAGGGAAGTGAAGAAGAGGAGGACAACAATATAGATGGATTTAGGATATGAACGGATGTAGCTATGCATGACAGCATCAGGATATGTAGTTTACGAGATAGATCTAGTAAACAGAATAGATTGATACATGGATCTAGTAAACAGAATACAGTAAACAGAATACATGTTAGTGAACATAGTAGACCTTAACATGGATTTAGTAAACAGAATAGATCAAAACATTGATCTAGTAAACAGAATAGATCTTATAAAAGATCTAATAAACAGAATACATGCTAGTGAACAGAGCAGATCTTAGCAGAGGTCTAGTAAACATAATAGATCTTACCATGGATCTAGTAAACAAAATAGATACATGTTAGCGAACAAAATAGATCTTAACATAGATCTAGTAAACAGAAGAGATATTAACATAGATCTAGTAAACAGAATAATCTTAACACAGATTAGTAGGGACAATACACCTCAGCATAAGATATCTCTATCACCTCTATATTAAAAACAAGAAACTGATGACGAGATGATGATGCTGAAACTAATGATTATAATTCTATGAGTATAACTGTTCTGTTGTTTTTGTTCTGTTTAGCAAACTCACTGAATTACATAACCTCAAACTTTTGCCTTTTCACTAGATAATAAGAATTTTTAGTTTCTTTTCTGTCTTCCATCACCTCTTCTACATCCACGTTAATATTTTCATCTATACTGTCTTCCTCTGAAACCTTATCTTCATCATGTGTGTCCTCATAAAGTTTCCTTTTCCTGGTAGTAGCTGGTGCCCAGCCAGGATTAGACCCTGAAGAAGAAGATGAAGATGAAGCTTCAGAATGGCTAGATGAGCTTCTCATTCTGCAGCAGATGGAAGGAGTTTCATGCTGCAGTGATCTGTCAGCAGATTCGGTACTCAGACCAGGGATCACTTTATCTTCTGTGTCTATGTCGCTGAAGAAATCCCAAGCTGAGCTGATCCTTTCACCATAACCCCGATCTTTAGAGTGTGTACAGGTATTCTCCAGGATGCTTGTCAAAGGCTTGCATATATGACAGGTGTAGCGGGAAATTCGTTTTAGGGACTCCAAAGGGGGTATATGCAAAAACCAAGCCATGTTATTGGCCAGAAACAACCTTAGTCCTGGCGGCATGGGAAGAACATCTAGCATTCTAAGATGACCTGGGGTCACTTGCCTCAGTTTCTGGCAGCACATGAACTGGAGAGAACTGGGAAAAGAACGTGCTGAGATCACCCTCATGCCACTTCTGGCTGCTGTGGAGCTTGCCATGGGGTACAAGGTCCTGCCTCTGAGACCCTTGAAGGCAACACCTGAAACAAAGAGGATTTACAAGATATAGGTAGATACATGGTTGATACTGCTGTTAGAGTTCAGAACTGTTAAAAAAAGTTAGTTGCGTATTCTTTACAGGACGCTGTAGAACCAACCCCAGCATTTTTTTGCTGTTGTGGTTTTTCTAGCCAAAGTTTTACGTTAAGTAGTTTGCCATTGCTTTCTGAATGCTCAGCGCTCGGTACCACTGTAGAAACCAACACAAGACAAATAGTCCCTAGCTAGGAACAAACCCACAACTATGTTTTAGTGGCTGCTACAGGCTATCAGTGCTCAATCCCGCAAATCCACATTTCATGATTAACGTGACTGTCTCCCGGACAACTCCCTTATCTTGGAGATTCACTAGAGGCCATGCAGGCCGATGTAAAATATCTTGTGAAAAACCGTCCAGACCTCCCTTCTGCCGCCTGTCATATTACTTTGAGATATCACTAATGTCTCACATCATGAACCCAATCAAGAACCTGGTTACTGCAGCAATTCCCGCAGACAACATGAACACTCAGTTCAGTCACCCAGCATGACACATAGCTGTATAAGTCTAGCCTGGCAACACCCAACTAGAACTTATACTCACATACGTCCACAGAGCTCCTTGATAATGCCCTACAGTGGTGCACTGAAGAACAGCATCAGCTCTCAAAGACTCTTGGCAGTGCGTCCTCCAATGTTGTGAAGTGACGTTGTGGAGTCAGCTCTCTTCATGGAGTGAACTGCCTCTAATAGCAAACCCAGAGATCACCACCTCCATGTGCATCCCTAGCAAGTAGACTGTGATTCACATTCATCAATGAACTCCCCACAGTTCACCACCTCCATGTGCATCCCTAGCAAGTAAACCGTGATTCACATTCATCCATGAACTCCCCACAGTTCACCACCTCCATGTGCATCCCTAGCAAGTAAACCGTGATTCACATTCATCCATGAACTACACAGTTTCCTCCCATTGCACAGCTATACAGGTCCATGACCTTGTGATCCTGACAACTGGGACGGTGGTTCCATTTACATATTAGGACTATAAGTTTTAATCTGAACTCCAAGAGACACAAATTTATATATAAACAATCTAGGACAATGCTTCCAGGGGGACATAACCCTTTATATAGCCATATTTTGCTGACAACACTAAGCAAATACATTATAAGCTGGGCTGACCAACTACAGCTTGAGTGTCAATCGAATAAGACAAATATCTGGTGTCATTTTCTTCTATGATTTAATATCAGTTTATATTGTTTTGGAAAAGCTCTGAGATTTACTGAATGACACCAGTGGTTGCCTCAGCAGGAAGAGGTTGGATATTTCTCATACCTGCCCTAAGGGCTCTAATAATACATAGGTGACCCTGTGTCTTAAAAGTTAGTTGCAAATCCTTTACAGGGTTCAGAACCAAACACAACATTTTGTGTGGTTTTTATTGGAGGAGCAGCTATAAGGTGACTTCTTTGCTATAGAGTTAAAGCTGCAACTACCTGGCAATTCTACTATGACCAGTTTGTCATTGCTTTCTGAACGGCCAGCACTTGATAACCACTGGTTAAAACAATGCAAAGCCAAACTGCCTGCAGTGGGAACTGAACCTAAAATCTCGACATTATGACACATGTTTGTAAGGCTTAGGCCACCGACGCCGACCCTATGTCTTACCTTGCATAACTTAACATAAAATAAACTTATAAATACACTGCCACAGAGGACCTAACAATCTACAGAAGTTAAAGGTAAAGATAAAACAGATCACACAGCAGCAACATTTTAGGAATACTATAACAATCTATGGAAGTTAAAGAGACTTGGTATAAAGATAAAACACAGCAGCAACATTTTAGGAATACTATAACAATCTACAGAAGTTAAAGGGACTTGGTATAAAGATAAAACACAGATCACACAGCAGCATCATTTTAGGAATACTATAACAATCTACGGAAGTTAAAGGGACTTGGTATAAAGATAAAACATAGATCACAAAGCAGCAACATTTTAGGAATACTATAACAATCTACAGAAGTTAAAGGGACTTGGTATAAAGATAAAACACAGCAGCAACATTTTAGGAATACTATAACAATCTACGGAAGTTAAAGGGACTTGTTATAACGATAAAACACAGATCACATAGCAGCAAACGTTTTAGGAATACTATTATACAACAGTTTGTGTTGGAAAATGACTGCAGGAATAACTAATAAACTACAGATGTTTCAAAATACATTTCTAAGTAGAATTATGCAATAATGTTGGTCAAAAAAGATCTTAAATGAAGTACTGAGAAATTGAACATTCATCATTAACAAACATTATCAAAGGAAAAGAGGGAGATGGCTCGGATATGATTTCAGAATCCCTAGTGATACTTTGCTAACGACAGCTCTCCAATGGACAGCAGAGGGAAAAGGCAGACATGGAATACTTTGCCAATGACAGCTCTCCAATTGACAGCAGAAGGAAAAGGCAGACATGGAATACTTTGCCAATGACAGCTCTCCAATGGACAGCAGAGGGAAAAGGCAGACATGGAATATTTTGCCAACGACAGCTCTCCAATGGACAGCAGAGGGAAAAGGCAGACATGGAATACTTTGCCAACGACAGCTCTCCAATGGACAGCAGAGGGAAAAGGCAGACATGGAATACTTTGCCAATGACAGCTCTCCAATGGACAGCAGAGGGAAAAGGCAGACATGGAATACTTTGCCAATGACAGCTCTCCAATGGACAGCAGAGGGAAAAAGCAGACATGGAATACTTTGCCAATGACAGCTCTCCAATGGACAGCAGAGGGAAAAGGCAGACATGGAATATTTTGCCAACGACAGCTCTCCAATGGACAGCAGAGGGAAAAGGCAGACATGGAATAATTTGCCAACAACAGCTCTCCAATGGACAGCAGAGGGTAAAGGCAGACATGGAATACTTTGCCAACGTCAGCTCTCCAATGGACAGCAGAGGGTAAAGGCAGACATGGAATACTTTGCCAACGTCAGCTCTCCAATGGACAGCAGAGGGAAAAGGCAGACATGGAATACTTTGCCAATGACAGCTCTCCAATGGACAGCAGAGGGAAAAGGCAGACATGGAATACTTTGCCAACGACAGCTCTCCAATGGACAGCAGAGGGAAAAGGCAGACATGGAATACTTTGCCAATGACAGCTCTCCAATGGACAGCAGAGGGAAAAGGCAAATATGGAATATTTTGGCAAAGACAGCTCTCCAACGGACCTGTTAGGTTTTTAGCTTGACTGTAATCAACCCCATATTTTGTCCAACAGACAGCAGAATGAAAGGGTAGACATGGAATACTTTGACAAGGACAACTCTCCAATGGGCAGCAGAGAGAATAGGCAGACATGGACCACCTAAGGAAACCTGGAGATGGACAATAGAAAGTGAAACAAAAAAGTATAAAATTACAAGGAATACCAGAAAATCAGCCGGCAGCAGGGGAGATCACTTGTGAACGCCTTATGTGACAACAGTGACATGTAGAGGTCATAGAGAAGGAGAGTGAGATAGGACTATACTTTCATAAGAATGATACTTCTTCTTTCTTTTCTCGACTCCTGGAATGGCTCGCGGCATCAGGGCAAGAAGAGATCTCTGGAACAGGTCCTTCTGTTCACTTTATATCAAGTACTTTTCAGTGTCTCTCATTTTTGGTAATCTGGTAATCCTAGTTTCAGCTTCATAGCAAACGGGTCACCCCACAGATGCTCCGCTCCTGTGCCAACAAAAAACAAACGCAGCTCACAGTGTCACGACATGCACTCAACTCAGAAGCTGGGAGACGAAACTACGTCTCTCATATTTCTACAGTCCATCTTCTGCCTGGTCGACCTCTGGCTCTGTTTCTACTGAATCTGTACAACACTTCTCTCTGTGGTACCCTGTCTGATGCCAATCTTGTTACATGGCCAAACCATGTACTGAGCTGCCAAAAGTAAACAAACTGTGGCTTCTGAAGCAAAAACAATCACCAATACAGAGACTGAACAGGATTTCGGATAGTTAGTTACCTAAGCATTCTCTGTCTTTAAAGTAGGTCATGGTGCCATGCCACATGTCCAGGTGAACACCGATGATTGTGCCCTGGCCAAACTTGCCACAGTACTTCTGTTTCTTGCCCGCGTGCTGGATGTGTCCATCGTAAGATATTCCCCAGCTGTTCACATCACTTCCCAACATGCTGCAGAATGTGTTGTGGAATTTGTTGAGTTCCACGTTGTCAGTCCCAACTCCAATCATCTGAACAGAGATATTTGCATTTCTCATTATAATGATGATAAATAATCTTAATAATTTCAAAGCAAAAGACTGTTTAATCAAACTTCAATAAAAGATGGATGTGATCAGTATTATTCTGTTTAACATAACAAGACAATGTTCTGCAGCCCATGTTCACAGGTTAAGTTAAATTTACCATGTTAACTCTTGGGAGCAGAGACAAATCAACAGCATTATGGGCCCCTGGGTAAGCCAGTATTTCTAGAACCCCCACCTCTCTTTTCAGCAATAAGTCTTTCAATGTACGGATTCTATGTCTGTTCTACTGCAAAGTCCAATGATTCCAGAGAACCTTCATCATGTCCGCTTTATCATAAACTAGCTCATGTGACAGAATGAAATAGTCGTAGGGCATTGATTTGATTTGATTTGATTCAAGAACTGACATTACAGAACTCGGGGCATTCCCTAAGTGCTCTGTCCCCATCTTCAGTAGCCAGAGAAGAGTTCCGATACCATTAGAGCCAGTAGCATTCTGATTAAACCTCCGTCTTGTCTTTACTCTGAGCCTCGAGCATCTGCCAGAACCTCTCGTCACTCCCTCCTGCATCAATCTCCCCAGACTGTGGTGATCCATCTGCTCCTCGGAACTGTACACGCTCTCCCACAAGGCACTAACCACGTCTGCCTTATCATGTATGAGTATTCCACCAAGTTGTGCAGAGCCAGCCAGTGTGTCACCCTGTTCCTTTCCCAACACACTGGTGTACCGCAATTAAAAAATCCAGACAATACTCCTCACCCATGTCCTCCCCAGCAAAGCATGCCACTCTGCACGAAGCAATCCTGTACTGATCTTCCTCAGCATGCTTTCTGAGTCAGTTACAATAAAGTGTGTGTCGTGTTCTCTAACAAGTGGAAAGCTGCAGTGACCACCTCCACCTCAATTCTTAGGCTGGACGTTGTGGTATCATATGCTAGGCTCTTCTGCACCAAACATCCACCATTACCTTTTGCTAAGAAGCCGCAAGCACTTCTTTTGCTTCTTGACACTGAACCGTTGAAATAGGGCATAGAGAATACACAAATATTTCAAATATCAACCTTTTCTAGTTGCTAGCGGATTCTGATTTGTAAAAAGTATGAGTCATTACTTTCTGGCCAGGAAAATAACAACTGGAACACGTGAATACTGAAAAATGTATGGACAGAGAGATAGAGGAAGACAGTGACAGAAGATTCTTGATGGCCTTTCGCTGTGGCATGGAAGGATATCAGCACATAAACTCTTTCTTCTTAGCATTCACAAGCTGTAAACACCTGCTACATGTTACGGTTGCCCATCCCCTTTCTGGACTTTGGTCTTGTCTAGAACTTTAGTTTTGTCTGCATATTTTTTTTCTAAACAGGTGTAGCTCATTTGTATGCAGACTGTTGGTTCTTGCCTCTCAGACAGATGTACTCCAACTTTGTAGAAAACACCCCAGTAAGTAGACATTTACAGCACGTTTGTTGGCAGGACAGTGGCTCTATTCTTGTTCTATCTAAAATAGGACTCCACAGGGCGCCGATGAACTGATACACACTGTTAGAGACTGCAGGATGTGGAGAAGCATGATCACCCTGTTGGCAAGACACTTAATGATGATTAGCTTAATTCACGACTATTAGACTGGTATCATAATTTGAACTCTGTGGTGGCTGCTGAAGATATGGACAGAACGCTTACCAGAAAGTCCTCAGTGTTTTGATGTATGTTTCTAATTCAACTCAAGAATAAATCACTAGGAAATGGAGCCTACCATGTCTGTACCGTAAACTGGTGTGGTCATCTTGATCTCCCAGAAATGCTGGTCCCTGTCCATGGCCTGTAGACCCCGGATGGCCGTTGTTCCACAGCTGAAGTCTTTATGAAATGTGACATGGGAGCCTTGCTCCTGCAGGCTTGTTGCCTCTCCACGTTGTATATGATCCCATACCCACTCAAAATCTGTTGCAATAAAATACACGAATAGACACAGATTCATCAAGTGTATCAGTACATGATTAAAAGTAAAGAGATCTGGGAAAAAAAAAAAAAAGACAAATGACTTTATAGTGAATAAACATGATGTATTATGTTCTTGAGGCCTAAATATTAGTTTTGGGATGAAGCGAGGTTTCAGGAATGTGGGGTGTCAGTCCTATCCTTAAAACTCCAACATGGAGGACCAGAGTTTAGACAAAAAATGGCCATGGCTATGGCCATTGAGTTAACTGTATGTGTCGATTCCTCCCCACCAAATATATGGTTGACACATTCCGTTTTTGGGGACAGCTTTTATCAAGTTTGCTCTCTAGTCAGTCGCAGTGCCCTGCTGATGAGATTCTGTCTTCCCGAGAGACAGAAAATGACCCTGAGTTGCCAACTGAAAAGAGAGGGAATGACGTCCTATAGAAGAACTGGGTTCTCTTTTCTTGATGCAGGGTCTCAGTTGCGTGTGGAGCCATTTAGAGGTGTATTCTGACATTCTGGCTCCACACACACATGAGTGGAGATCCTGCATAAAGATCAACCAAGAAAAGAGAACCCACTTCTTCTAAAGGACATCATTAGCTTGAATCTGGGTGGGAAGACATGCTTTGGTAAGTAAGTTTTCATATTTTGAAAAGTTAGTCTTGACAATAATTTCAACATATTCTTTTCTTTTTCCTTCAACTGCAGGATTTAGTTGTCAGGCAAAGTATGATCATGGGTTCTTGGAGTTGTTTTCCTTGCCGAAGAAGGCATTACCCCATGATCTTTTTTTCATTTCTTTAAATCTTGAAACAAACCCCATACAACCATGAATAAAATCAGATCCGTTGAAGCCAGAGGCAGATATCAAGTAAAATGGCACACTAACATTTAGTGTTTGATTAGTGTTAGTGTTAAAGCCCTGGTTGATTGTCCACTTCTAGACTTTAGAACTGTTCCAAAACCTGAGTGTTGTGTGCACATCTGTTTCACAGATCCTCATCTGCATGCAGACTGTTGGTTCATTGTCTCTCAGGCAGATGTACTCCGAATTCGAAGAAAGTTCCCAATCAGTTGACTGAAACGACATTACTGTTAGATATGGTGTAGGACCAACATTTTTACAGAACACCTGGCATTCGACGGGTGGTGTGGCCAACATCCTGTCGGCCATCTTTACCTCCCAGGACATTACCTGACACCCATTTCAGGCTGGGTCAACCACGGAGCTAAAGTCAATTTTGACAAATTCTGCCTCACTGCAGATTTGAACTCTTGACCTTTTGGGTTGGCAGATGAGAATCTAGAGGCAGATATGAACTAGTTTTTGCGTTGAGCGGTTGTAAACTCTGGCAGACATTTCTTATTGTTCATACACCTCTGGACTTTAGTCTTGTTCCAGAACCTGAGTGTTGCATGCACATCCATTTTACAGATCTAACTTATTTGTATGCAGACTGTTGGTTCCTTGCCTCTCAGGCAGATGCATTCAGACTTCGAAGGAGGCCCCAGTTAGTCGACTCTTACAACATGCTTGTTAGGAAGACAGTGGGTCTATTCTTGTTTTCCTCACAATGGGACCCCGGAACTCACATAGGGAAAATTTGAACTTGCAGGCTCTAACAAAAAAAGCAATGTGAAACAAACTGCAATACTTCTTCTTCTTCACGTTCACCGGCTGTAAACTCTGGCAGAAAGCCCTGGTTGTTCATGCACTTCTAGACTCATGGTCCTGTTCGAGGAAATGAGTATTGCATGTACATCCGTTTCACAGACCTACTCATTTGCACACAGACTGTTGGTTCCTTGCCTCTCAGGCAGATGTACTCTAACTTTGAAGAAAGAGTCGACTCATATGACATGCTTTTAGGCAGGCAGTGGCTCTATTCTTGTTTTCCCCACAATGGGACCCCGGAACCCACACATGAAAGTGCAGTACTTACGTTTGTCATCTTCTCCACAGCGACAGTCCCCTGTTGGTTGTTTTGGCACACACTTGCAGAATGTGGCAGTTTGTTTAGAGACATCATTATGTAAGTCCATAAACATGGCTAAACTTCTAACTCCTTGTGCCATCTTCTATTCCTGCTATATAAATGGATCTGAAGATGGAAATCCTTCCTCTAATGTCTGAAGAGCACAATTGACACAGAGTTGTTGACTTGTGGAATATCCTGAGTCTTGACAATTGACTTTGGTTTGTCTTTTATAACAAAGTCAGCAATGAATGTGTTTTGTTAAAATGTGAACACAAATGTCATACAGGCTATAGCTGTTGTGCAAGCAGGCCAAAGTGCAACAAACTTAAAGTATTTTCAAAACCTTCTGCAATAACGGCCTCAAGTTTTGGAATAACCCGAAAGATCTGTTCTGTAATGTCTTTTATCTTTAACAGCTAGTAATCACGTAGTTATACAAGTCTTGTTTGATATTTTGATTATGTAACGTATCAGGACTAGTGCAGTTATCCACACTTATTGTTCACAGCAGCTAGAAAATCCACAAAAATTTCTATTCACCTAACATACGTTTCTAAGTAACACCTTGGTGATATTATTAATATCCTATTTACAAACTCAGTCGTGTATCTTGAGCAAGTCCAAGAAGGAAAAAATTATGTAAATTAAAACAAAATACATTGTAAAACCATTTCAGGAGAATAAACTGCAAACACTGACAGCAAATGTAAAGGGGTCCCACCAAACAATGACAGTAAATGTGAAGGGGTCTCACCAAACAGTGACAGTAAATGTAAAGGTGTCTCACCAAACAGTGACAGTAAATGTAAAGGGGTCTCACCAAACAATGACAGTAAATGTAAAGGTGTCTCACAGCTGCTACTGTTAGAGGGATGTCGAGGGTTAGGCCTTTCATATTCTAGGAGCTGGGGTGATAAGCTCCTTTCCTCCTTCCCTGTACTTCATAAACCTGCAGCATTCAGTGGCTGTAAACTCTGGCGGAAAGTTATGGTTGTTGTCTACTTTGAGACTTTTGTTTTGTTCGAGAACTTCCATTTTGAATGCACATCCATTTACTTCTTCTTCTTCTTCTTGTTCACCGGCTGTGAATTCCGGCGGTAAGTCACGGTTGTTCGTCCAAAATTGACTTTTGGCTTTTACCTTGACCTGAGTTTTGCGTGTACATCCGTTTTACTGGCTTATTTGTTTGCAGTACTCGTTCCCCACCTCTCCGGCAGATGTACTCCGACTTCGGAGGAAGACGTCAAGCCTATTTCTAGGTTGACTGTGGCCATTGTTTTGTGTGGGTCGAGATGTTGCCTTATTTGTGTGGTGTCCTCTTTGACTTTTAACAAGTGTGGCCCCCGGCATGTAGTCCTCAAGGCAGCTCTATGTAGAGTTTTCAGCCCTCAAGGGAAGGCAGGGGCAGATCATGGGCATTCCCCACCATCCAAGGAGGCTTCCATAAATGCAGAGCCGACACATGATGCTCTGGTTCTGGGCTCACCCAAGGAATCGTCATGTCCTGCCCACGACTGCTTAACCTCACAACCGTGTATTGAGCTTCCCGCACTACAAGGCTGCGCTCTCCGGAGATCAGCGGGGAGCAGCCCGCAGGTCTAGGACGTTTGTGGCCACACAAATAGGTACATTCTTTTTCATCTTACGTTAGACACCTTTAACGTTGTTTCAGCTGTGCCCTTAGCGCGACAGAATGGGGAGGCAAAAAGCGTCAGGTGTGGCTTCACCTGTTTGGTCCCAACACTCGGGCGAGTTGGACCAGTGGATACGGACATTCAGACTTTTCCTAATCGGTACGAGTTATGATCGTCGGACTTTGAGCTGGCATGTGTGCCGTGGGGTGTAACGTTGTCGGACATTGTTTTCAAGCCAGCATATGAATAGTTGCTGCCATGGTGTACCTCAGCGCGGTGACGACGACACTGAGGATTGACAGAGGATGTACGTAGGTGGGATCTTGCTGCAAGAAGTCGCCCACAAGAGATGTTACTCGTCTTGGCTGCGGGTAAATCTCTCGGTCAGGGTTGAGTCTTAGCAGCACAGTTTTCCATTTGCTCCCGAATTTTAACCAAGAGTTGTTATTTGATGGTACATTTAGCAAGCAGTCCTTGAGTTTTGTTACTTTTCACCCATGCGTTTGGGGGCGGGCTGGTGAGAGCCAGAAAGGACTCTACACCTCTAGGGGCCGCCAGTTCCGAGATCCCCTGCCAACTCTGTTAATGCTCATTTGAGACATTATCCGTGGCGCACGACGGGGACGTGCAACAGGAGTCTTGCATGAGGTTCCGTAAAACCAGAACAGTAAAGGACTGGCGCCCGAGTGGGGTACGGAATATCTCCTTATACACATCACATCAGACTTAACTTCCCCTCATGCCTGTGACCGAAATCACCACGCCACATCCGTTTACAGATCTGGCTTATTTGCATGCAGACTGTTTTTTCCTTGCCTCTCAGGCAGATGCACTCCGACTTCACAGGAAACACCTCAGTTAGTTGACTTTATGACAGATGTACTCCCCCCCTCCCTCCCTAACAACAAGGCCCCAGAACTAAAATGGGTTCAATGACTCAAATCTGAGTGTGTACAGCAGAGAATAAATGAATTTTCTTTAACTTCAGGTCCATGATTTAAAACATAGCATAGTATGGGCAGAACACAACATGCTAAAACCTGTACGCTCAGTTCTATATGCAGGGACAGGCTACAGTTGAATGCTTCACTAACAAACTGCAACTGTGAAAGTTTAAATATGAAGCAGGAAGTTTAAAACTGTACTATTCCCCCCCCCCCCTCCCCCTGTGTGGGTTCCGGGGCCCTATTGTAGGGAAAACAAGAATAGACCCAAAAGCATGTCAGAAGAGTCGACTAACTGGGAAGCTGCCTTTGAAGTCGGAGTGCATCTGTCTGAGAGGCAAGGAACCAGCAGTCTGCATTCAGTTGAATCAAATCTGTAAAACTGATGCACATGCAACACTCAGGTTCTGGGGCAGGACTGCAGTCCTAAAGTGGACGAACAACCAGAACTTTACGCCAGAGTGTACAGCTGGTGAACATGAAGAAGAAGAAGAAACTGTACTTAACTCTTTGAGTCCCAGAGGGTTTAGCATCACAGGCCCAAGGGGAACTCAAGAGACACGTACAATTGGCGCATCATGCGTTCATTGGGCTTCTAGACAGTAACCTATGAACGTATAATGCGTTCATTGGGACTCAAAGAGTTAACAAAAATTACTGTAGGAACGTGAAATAATGTATTATAAACTTCCCTATTCTTACTCAATCCTTACAATCATTATATAGTGTCTGCCCTAATCCTATCTCAGGTGTTAAAAAAAAACATTTCAAATAACAACCATATAAATTAAATAAATACTGAAAGACATCATACGATTTAAACCATCAGGAAAAACTTGCATAATTTATGATTTTCCAGCTTGTTCCCTCCCCTTAAAACAACACACTATAATATTGGATATCATAAATAAATCTCAATTATAATATAAAAGGACATTACACAAAAGAGCTGAATGACAGCAGACAGAGAGACAGACCAAGAGGAATGTGGAAAGATTACTCCTGGTGTCTCCAAAGGAAGAAAAGGAAGTTAGTTAGATCCCACTAGAGGCGAATATCAGCAGCAATCAACCTGAAGGGCTCAGAGAGCAGTAGAATATTTATATGAAAACTGCTACTACTTACAGTAGACAAGTTAACAATCTCTGGCTGTTGTCAGAGGTTCAGCTGGACAGTGATGTCCTGAATGTATGCCTTGACTACCGACTGTCACTGACAACTGTCCCGGCTTCTGACCGAATTCCCAGAACTATGTTAGTGTGTCACTCGGTCAGTGGCCACTGAACTGGTTCTGTGCCAAAGGTCAGCCCAACCCACCGAACTCTGGCTAGCTTTATTGCTTTCGTTTGATTTAATTCATTATTTTTCTTAAGAATAAGTGTCACGGGTACTGGAAAACCCCTTTGTTCTTGTACACTTTTGGCCAGTAACAAATAATGTTTTAACTGTTACGTCCTCAAGTCTTGTGCCCTCCTAAGCTATGCTAAATGAGAGACAGCGAAATTACATCACACATAAGCGTAAATTAGGCTTGGCTGATTTAATTTTATGAAATTGGTAAAATAATTACATCTACTTCTTACTAATTACTCAATAATTGTCAATCAATTTGCTTAATATTTCGTAGAGTACACATAATTTTAATTTTCTTACTTTTAAAATCTTGTACTTGTTCCACTTACTTACCATTCCGGATCCAAATTAACAATGTTACTAGGGCCCTCCCAGCAGGTTGATATAAAGGAATCTAATATAATTGTTTGTTGATTGAAATGAATGAAAAAGAGTTGTATCAGTGAGGTATCTCCCAAAAAAAAACTTAAATCGGCTGTTTTAATCTCCCAGCCTGACGCAAGATCTCCTGCAACTAGCAGACAAGCCGATGATGGCCGACCTCCTTGTCTCCTCGATCGTCGTTTTCTTAATCTGCTCTTTCACACAGAAGAGTTACTAATGGTCGTCATCATCATGCGTCAGACAGGTAGGCGTGTGCAGTCACCTGATCACATTTGACGTCACCGCAAAAAAAAAATAATTATCTGTACCTCTAGTTAACAGCTCAATGATTGTTACTGGAGACGGTCATGGCTCAGTGCTTTCCTGACTTTTTTCCCGCCGGCGGTAGGCAGTACCAGGCCTTTTATTTCTTTTAAGCATCATTAACGGTCTTTATGGGGCCCCGGGCAAACCAGTTGACTGGGCACCTACGACAACCACTTATATGAATGAAACCACGGCCATCTTTAGCTATAAATCTATAGTTGGCGGTGAATGAAACATTGCAAGTCACGTGACACACACAGATGAGCATGGTGCCCAGTACGCGCTGGGCCCCCGTTAAGTGCCCATACATTCAGGATTGGTTTAACCATTCAAACTGAATATTTGTTTTTTTTACAAAATTGTTGAATTTTACATTTTTACACTACATGAAAGTATATTCATTTCTGCAGATAATAATGCAACTCTTGCTGCAAAATTCAAACTGAAAGTAATTTTTTTTTTTTTACAATGGCATG